TAAAGATTCAAATCCATTTATTGTTCACATAGGCAGAATATTTATAATATTAGATATAATAAATCCTGGGAACAGATTAAATGGACATATAATTCAACAGCTAAATGAATAATTGAATGTGAATTTCAGGAAAGAATAAATTAAAATTTTTGGATACTTGCCAAAACATTACTTAGCTTTGATAAAAATGACATTTCTTAAAAAATAAAAGGGATTAACTAAATTAGAAATAAGAATATCTCAATAATAAAAACATAGTTAATCCTTATTTCATTATTTCAAGAAAATATAGTAATTTTGCCTTCATAATTGCAATAATTCCTACACTGCTTTATTCAAGTCTTTTCATAATAAAAAGCAGAAATACCTAAGGGACACATATCAGAATATTTGAGGCAGATACTTTTGAGTTTTAAAAAACAACTAATTTGTGTTTTTATGCAGACATTAAAATTTGACAAAATATTTTATAATTATTCAAAAGCATATTATGAGATTATCTTGGTCTTGAAAACGTGCATGCGTTAAAATTCTCCCAAGAGTGTAAGAATTTGAAAGGAAAATATTAAAACTTTGGACTGTAGATTAATCTAATTTGAGGAAAGACCAACTTTGATTATGTTGTTAGTACTTTCTCTGATCCTAAGAACTGATGAGTATCAATTATTGCTTTGAACAGCAAACTGATGTGAGATTTAGAATGAGGAAAATGAACATCAATAAATTAACAGTAGTATTTTATTAAATTTTTATAAATGTGTTAACAACTTGAGCAGTTTAGACTTTGGAGGCACTTTATTTCTTTGGGACCTCTTTACAACTTAAACATTATTTTGTTGTTACTGTTATGGTCAGGAAAAAATGAAACCCACAATATTAAATCTTACACATATATATTCTAAAATCTCACATATTATTTGAGTTCATTAAAGGTAAGATCTTACAGAATGTTAGTTGACTATAAGTACATGGCCATAAGGCATGCAAACCCAAGTAAAATGTTAACACTGGTGCTCTGTTGAACAGGGATTATAAAACAATATGCTCTCAGTGTATTTTAAAAATGCAAACATGATGTTTAAATCAGCAAAATAAAAATATAGGTCCTGTAATTTATATATACTGACAAGTTGCTTAGCTCAGCTCTACAAGTAATTACTGATGATAGTTGTAACTTGGTGTGTGGGGAAATATCACTGGCTATCATAAGGAGGTTTGGAAGTAGATTAGCATTTAATCAAATATAAGACTCTTCATGATCTCTGAAGAGTCAGATGGCTTTTAGAATATATCAATCGATGGAGAATTTATGGCATCTGAAAACAATGAAGTCCATTAATGGACAATTAGACTTTCCACAAATAATTGCTATATTACTAAAGTAGTGGGATATTTTATATGCCTATTAGAAAATACACAGAAGAGAAACTTAGAGAGGATGGGATAAATTTAAGTGAAAATTCAGCATTCCAAGCTCTATTCTGTGGACCTTTTAACATACCATTGAATCCTACTTTGATATTATTGCACTTGATCAATGGAATATATAATGGCCCTCTGTAACATAAAGCTTCTCATTTGTTTGTCTGTGTTACCTCTTTGGCTTTCAAGTTTTTTTCTATAATCTTTTTTTTGTGCTTTCCACAGACGTGCCATGAAGAAATGTAACCAATTATTGATCAGTCTTGTGCATCCTACAGGAAAACCATATAATCAAACAATAGCTCAAAAATATGAGCAGCAATTTGGCCAAAGTGAGTTAATGTAGATATTGCTTTTAATTTTGAGATAGGCATATTTCCTTGTGCTTCCTAAATTGGGTTAAAACTTTCTCAAGTGACTTTATGTGTACCTCTAAGGTATAAAGAACAAATAGCTCTTTATAAAACTAAAAAATCAGGGGTTCTTTTCTTCCTTTCCCCAACGTACATACACACACACACACACACACACACACGCACACGCACACACACGCTTGAGAAAGAATCCTAAATCTAAGTGTTCTAGATTTTCATTCATGAAGACATATATTTTAATTATTGCTCCATGCAAAGAAGCTACTTTTTCACACTAATAGTACCTTAACCTGCCTTAATCACTTTTGGAACAAATGCATAAGAATAAATAAGGCAAATCAATGAAGTTCACGCATACAATTTTATATCCCTTTCTCCTCAAATTTTTTGATGAGTTACCATCCATCTAATAAGTTCTAGACTCTCTGTGTTCCTTAGGGAAATGGCGCAAGGCCTTCTTGATTGTTAGATTAGCATTTGGATCTCTGATTTAGTGAAACAGTGTGTAAAAATCTCTCATAATCAGAACACTCCCTATTGGCTCCACATCTGAAGATACCCAAGAGTGCTGTTTGTATCAGGGAACATCTGGAATAGATTATATGCAGTTAATTGGCTCCAGGTCAAGCTTGTTACAGACAGTAGCATGCAGTATAACCTAGGCAATTCACTAAATCCACCCACTTTAGGTTAAATCACACCTACTTCTCTCTATAATCTCTCCCAGATGCACAACACACACATATGTGCACACAACCCCCCCAACACACACACACACACACACACACACACACACACACCCACAGAGGCAGCAAAATATCAATAGAGTAGGGAAGAGATTGTTGGCAAGACATTTAACCCATAAACTATCTCAATCAAAAGATTAACTATTGAATTTATAGGATTGTTGGGAAGAAAAATAATCAGGACCAGCAGATTGTAGGGCTTGACTGTTTTATAGTAGAAAAATATATAAAGGTTTTAATTTTAAGTTCCAGCAGTTTCAGAATTTTTGCTTTATTTTGTTCCTCCAAGTACAGGTTCAGCACACATAGGGTACTTCTCAGAATGTCTTAGTAGTAAGGAAAGCAGCGCTTTAATTTTTAACTTATTTAACAATATTAATGAGTTGGGTTACAAGGAACAGTATGACTACTGTTCATTGAAAACCAAAACATCAATCTTCTTAACTTACGATGTTAGAGGCACAGGGCATGTCTTAGCGATTAATGACCAGTTGAAGGAGTAGATATCTCAATGCATAGCCAGGGGCCATTAACCCCAACTAGTCATTAATTCCCAGGAAATGTCCTGCACTGAGGTCATTATTGCTAATAAAATGCACATATGGAAAGTTCTCTCTCTTTTGCCTATGTATATAAACATACATTCACATTACATGCATTGTTACATGTCATAAAAAAGAAGTATTTCACATGTTCAGAAGCTCAAAAAAACTAAGTGTTATGAGAAATTTAATATACTCGGTCTCTACATTCATTTTACCTTTCACTTTTTTCAGGGGGTATGGGTAGGAGGGAGAATACATGTTTTTATGCCAAGGCTGTGAGTCTGCTGCAATTAGATATCAGTGTTCTGCTAATAATGTGAATACAGGAAAGAATGGAAGGAACAGGGTGATGGGATTAGAGAAGCATTGATGAATGTGGGTGGAACAGCATGCATGATCAATACCAAAAGGCAATATGGAGTGACTACACACACTGTTTTGAGTCATAGTATATTAGGTATGAGAACATGCTTGAGGCAAATTTAAGAGTTAACTCAAGATTCTCTTTGGTGTCCTCTTCCATGCCACTGAATTATGCCACACTTTTCTTCTCCTCATAGTCATATAACCAAGTCTGTCATGCTGCCTGCCTCACTGCTCAGGAGTCCTTAACCAAGCTTGACTGTTTCCTGGAACTGTCTCTGTTTGCTTTTCCATTCTTTCTCTGTCCTCCATGAAAGTATAATTGTCTTGTTTAAGCCTATACGATACTTCTTCTAGGTGTGTTGCATAGCATATAATAAATGTCTCTACTTAGATTTATGGAACTTTATTTGTGTATAATCAATCATTCCCTTCAGAAAAATAATCTTATTCATTTCCTCACCTTATAAATTGTCAGTGTTTAGATATGATGCCAATGACTGATAAGAATGTATGTAAGTAAATATATGTTAGATATATTCAAAAACCATCAGAAGTTATGTAAATATATCTATATTTACATATAAATATTTAAGACTTGTGTTGGAATTGTATAAAAGCAGCACATTTTTAAGGAGAATCTGTAAGTCAAAGAATAGTGGTATAAATGACAAACTAACAAGTTACCAGAATGCATTGAGATTGAATGATTCAAAACTCGTATATTCAAATATAATCTGCTAATTTTTTTCTGTAGGTCAGCTAAAGTGACTGTTTTGTGACAATAGTATTAATGTGTTCTAACTGGCATTGAAATAATATCGTTTTTAGGACTTTATCGTATGTTAAAAAATGATTTATTAAAATATGCATAATTGAAATTTTTAAAATTAAAATTTTCATAAAGTGCTGCTGATGGTATAGTCTTGTTGGTGAGAAAGACATTTCTTTTTGTCCCTCAAATTTTATCGAATTAGGTGGAACTTTCAGGAAATGTCAATTAAATGTGAATAAAATAAAATATGTGATATTTGTTATATTTGATAAAACATAATTGAAAGACTGTCTAAATCAACTTGATTATTTGCATATGTAATAACTGTGTAAAAGCAGAATTCAATGTTGATAGATTATATACAAAGAATAATTTAGTACTTCTTATAGGTATCTTTGAGTGTAATAAAAATAATTTATTAAGCACTTAAGTTTAACATTTCATGAAGAAATTCAACATAAAATTTGAAGTCTATCCTTAAATATTTATCATGTATAAAAGTAATACAGATCAAAATTTGATTTTATTTCACTTCCCAAGACTTAACTACTGAGATTTCAGGCAACTGAAAACTTAATATTCAAAGTCTGGGAGACATTTTAGTACAGTGAAGAGCTGATCTCACTTAAAAAAAAATTCATCCTTTATTAGGCCTTCTCTTTTTTTTTTAACTGTATATTTATTTTTATTTTTAATATCCAGAACGTGTAATATAAGGGCTGGGGCCTCCTTCTGGACTCAATTATATAAATTCTCAATTGGTTGGTGAGGCCAGTTAGGGATATTTTGCTTGTCTATTGGTTTCTGGGAAAGCTTCGTTCAAGTCCTCAATGCTTATCTGTTCAAATGGAATTAAGTTCTTGATCTTCTCCATCTGTTTCTCATATTCTACAATCCTGGCCTTTGAGAGAGGCACCCACTTAGCACAAGACTCCACATCTTCTTTTTCTACAGCATCCACATGGGCAATATATTATCCTCTGGTACAGGAATCTTCAGGGCATTAAACTTCTTCTCAAAGTCATCCTCCAAGGCTGCCTTGGCCACATTGGCCTTGTAGTAATCCCAGTTGATCGCTGGTGGATTCTCAGATAAAGTAGGCAACCTGGAGGTGAGGGTCTCATTGCAGGACTTCAGGGAATTAGCAATGGCCTTTTGGTTTTGGGGTATGGTCTCCCCAAAAGCTATCCAGTCAATGGTTTTTAGAGCAAGTTTTCGCCCAGCCATCTTGGCATCCTTCACTGACCCCAGCTGCCCAAACTCCATAGCAGCTAGGCCTTCTCTTAAAACTAAACTGTATAGGCATACAATATTTATTTTCAATATTAGCTAATTAGAAAATTACTTAAAGTCAAATACTTTTTTATTATGACCTAAGCTATCACCAAGAAATCTATCATCAAAGAAATTATTGATTCTGTGGCCTATTTCCTATTAAGACAGCAGGAAGTTAATTAACATGGAAGAGAAGTTGAAGACTCTAGCAGGAGTTGATGATCACTAGATTCTACCACAATGCAAAGCACTGGAAGACCTAGGTGTGAAAGAAGCAGAGTCTAGCTAAAGTTCTGATCATGTGTTGATTTCATCCATCTCTTACTTGCCATGTAACCCTGGAAGAATTATTTAACTCTGTACCTCAATTTTGTTTCATTGGTGAAGTGAGATAAGTAATTACCCACCCTTTATGACTTTTTAAATTGAATCATTTAATCTATATAAAGCACTTTTTAAAAAAAGTATTGGGAACATATAAATGGTCAATAAATATGATTTGTAACTTTTATGGCCAGACTTAGTTTGGAATACATGTTTTGATTTACTCTACATCTTATGGAAAAAAAACAAGTCAGCTTTATGGCAACCCAGTTAATTACCACCTCCTCCCTCTTATAAACCCTTATGTTTTACAATTTGTTTTTCTATTGAGTACTCCCATGTGTGGAATAACACAGGGTTCAGGTAAGATTGCATTGTTCCAGGCCTGACATCTATACTGGGGCCCTGAGAAAATTGAATTTAGCTTCTCACATTTAAGTGGAATTTTAAAATGTCTCTTAACTCAGAAACAAGACAACTTGTCTCAACATGACGGCTTTTGTCTGTTTAGTTGGCGGATCTTTTTATTTGGGGGTGATATGGGGCAAGTGTAGCCTTCTGCCAGTGAAAGTGTTCTCATCTGATCAAAGAATTCAAGTTATGGAAAAAGTTGGTTCTTCAGATATTTGCTTAAACAAAACACAAAAACAACTTTAGTCAAGGAAAAAATGTTAAATAACAAAATAGTTTAAATTCTAGTGGTGCATTTATTTCTACATCTGAGCAAAGCCTGTCCTTAATTTTATTTCCCAGTTCTGATTCATTTCTGCTGCAACTATTATATAAGAGCAAAAAATGAGAGATGGAAACATTATTTTTTAAAAATCTATCTACATTCAGAAAATTATAATTTACTAATTTAAGAAAAATCTGCCAACCGCTATCTTAAGATTTTTTTTTTATTTTTTAGATTAAATTAACACCACTTGAAAGCGAACACTGTTTTCATCATGAATGCTAATAAAGACGAGCGACTGAAAGCCAGAAGCCGAGATTTTCACCTGTTTCATGCTTTGATGATGCTAGGCATGACCATGCTGTTTCTTCCTGTCATTGGCACTTCTAAGCAAAATATTCCAAGACTCAAGCTAACCTACAAAGGTAAATATATAAATATTTTCCAAATTGTTTATTACGACTTTTAAATGTCTTTTTTCATTGCTACCTTTTTTTTATTTAGAAAATTGTGTTGACTTCTGTGAAATGTTTATAGTGTTGGCATCAGTTCATAAAAATAGAATTACAGAACACAGAGCCCAATTATTTATTTTTGTGAGTAAAAGGATGCTAAAGCTATTCAAGTATGCTTTCAGCCCACTATTTATAATAATCAGTTTGATCTGCAAGGGGTAATCAGTTTTGTATTAAAACAAATACATTCCTAAAAGTAGAAAAATGTTAACTAATTTCACATAACTCTTACAAATTAGTTTCTTCCTAGTTAGAGCAGATTTTTTAAAATAGTAAGATATTTTCAAAAAGAATTCAACAGCAGGATAGCTTCAAGTCCTCAACTATATATGTGTTTTATAATAAAAAAGACAATGTGAAAGGTTTAAAATATAAGCAGATGAAAAACTTTGCTAAGAAATGAAATCTGCTAAGCTAGTTGTTTTTAAATGTTTGATATAAAGGCAAAGTTCATACAAATTATGGTTGGTCACCTTTGTGTGTGTCTGTGTCCAGTTTCATGCCCAAAGATTTTTTACTTCAGTTTTTCTTTATAATGTACTGTGGTCTTTATTAATACCTCAAGAAACAAAAGGGATATACAGAGAATCAAACTTCTTTATTCTGAATGTGATAGGCAAAATCTATATGCCAATTTGAATATATCTTTAAGATGATATTTTATAGACAAACAAAATACCAATAATAAAAGAAAATTGGATGTCAAATCTAAGTAAGAGTAAGTTGAATTAGCACATTATATCCATTACAAATCTTATATGTTGGTATTTGTTTAGAATTTATATGTCATGTACTAAAACATTAACATATATTTTTGAGTTTTTGTGTGTTTATATGTATCAAACTCACTTAAATTGAAAGATTTTTTTGATAATCTAAGATGTTTTTATCTGGGAAAATTGATTATATTATGAAATATAATTTGTTGATGTCTTTTTAGCAATGATTAAAACTTTTTTTTTGAGATAAAGTCTCACTCTGTTGCCCAGACTGGAGGGCAGGGCATAATCTCGGCTCACTGCAGCCTCCACCTCCCAGTTTCGAAGCGATTATCCCACCTCAACTTCCTGAGTAGCTGGTATTACAGGTGCCCGCCCCACGTTTGGCTAATTTTTGTATTTTTAATAGAGACAGGGTTTCACCATGTTGGCCAGGTTGTCTCGAACTCCTAAACTCAAGTGATCCGCCAACCTTCACCTCCCAAAGTGCTAGAATTACAGGCATTAGCCACCATGCCTGGCAATAATCAATAACTAAAACCTGTGTTGAGTGCCATCCATTTCTTAATTACAGATATATTCAATATTCTGTCATTCCCCTAAAATTATCTTAGTTCCAAATGAACATTACCAGTTATGGTAAGGTTTATTAGACTCTAAATAAAAAACACAGTCAAGGCTTTTAACCAGTTCAGTGTAAATAGTACTGAATTATACCTCTTGCCATAAACAACTATTCAACTAGATAAACTACATGAAGCAACTATTCTTAAACATTGAGTAATAGGCAGCAAAGATGAAATAAAGAAGCCACCAGTGGTGCATGCCTATAATGCCAGCTATTCAAGAGGCTGAAGCAAGAGGATCACTTGAACCAGGAGTTTAACTTAAGTAACTAGGATTGCATCACTGTATGCAAGACCCTGTCTCTAAAAAAAACAAAATCCAGTTAATGGTGGGACTCCAAAAGGGTTGGGGGCAAACAGGGAAATTGTGAGCTGAGTCGAGATATTGAGCTGAAATATTGGAGATCAAGGAGTGCTGAATGATATAGGAGTTCTGCCCACTCAGAATTTTATTATTATTATTATTATCATTATTATTATTTAGGAAAAAAGAAAGAGAAAGAAAGAATAAGAAATAAAGAAAGAAAGCAAAAAAAGAATGAAAGAGAGAAAGAAAGAGGAAGAGAAAGAGGGAGAGAGAATGGGAGTCTTGCTTTATTGCCCAGGCTAGAATGCAGTCTAAAAATGGGTATTAAAAACCTCTTTTATGCCAATAATTGTGCTTAACAATGGAGACAGGGAGGAATAAGGGAGGAAAATAACAAACAAGCAGCCAACCAATATTTCATTTAAACTTGTGAAATGCTATGCAATTACTGAGGAGTGATTTACTTCCAATTATGTAGTCACTTTTAGAGTAGCTGTGATGTGGTACTGAGAAGAATGTATGTTTTGTAGATTTGGGGTAGAGTTCTGTAAATGTTTATTAGGTTTACTTGTTCCAGGTCTGAGTTCAAGTCCTGGATATCCTTGTTAATTTTTTGTCTCGTTGATCTGTCTAATATTGACAATGTAATGTTAAAGTCTCCCACTATTACTGTGTGGGAGTCTAAGTCTCTTTATAAGTCATTAAGAACTTGCTTTATGTATCTGGGTGTTCCTGTATTAGGTGCGTATGTATTTAGGATCATTAGCTCTTCTTGTTGCATTGATCCTTTTACCGTTATGTAATGTCCTTCTTTGCCTCTTTTGATCTTTGTTGCTTTAAAGTCTATTTTATCAGAGGCGAGAATTGCAACTCCTGCTTTTTATTTATTGATTTTTGCTCTGCATTTGGTTGGTAAATCTTCCTCCATCCCTTTGAGTCTTTGTGTATCCTTGCATGTGAGATGGGTCTGGATGCTGCATACTGATGGGTTTTGGCTTTTTATCCAATTTGCCTGTCTGTGTCTTTTGATTGGGGCATTTAGTCGATTTAAATTTAGGATTACTATTAATATGTATGAGTTTAATACTGTCATTTAATGCTAGCTAGCTGTTTTGCCCATTAGTTGATGTAGATTCTTCATTATGTTGATGCTTTTTACCTTTTGGTATATTTTCGGAATGGTTGATACTGGTTGTTCCTTTCTATGTGTAGTGCTTCTTTCAGAAGCTCTTGTAAAGCAGGCCTGGTGGTGATGAAATCTCTGAGTACTTGCTTTAGCTATGAAATTCTGGGTTGAAAGTTCTTTTCTTTAAGGATGTTAAATATTGTCCCCCACTCTTTTCTGGCTTGTAGGATTTCTGCCTGAGAGATCTGCTGTGAGTCTGATGGCCTTCCCTTTGTGGGTAACCTGACCTTTCTCTCTGGCTGCCCTGAGCATTTTCTCCTTCATTTCAACCCTGGTGAATCTGACGATTATGTGCCTTGGGTTGCTCTTCTTGAGGAATATCTTTGTGGTGTTCTCTATATTACCTGGAGTTGAATATTGTCCTGTCTTGCTAGGTTGGGAAAGTTTTCCTGAATAATATCCTGAAGAATATTTTCCAGGTTGGATTCACTCTCTTCGTCACATTCAGGTACACCTATCAAACATAAATTAGGTCTTTTCACATAGTCCCATATTTCTTGGAGACTTTGCTCGTTCCTTTTTACCCTTTTTTCTCTAATCGTGTCTTCTCGTTTTATTTCATTGAGTTGGTCTTCGACCTCTGATATCCTTTCTTCTGC